GACAAATAAAAAATTATTGTTATAAGTTATTATCGCCGAGTCATCCGAATCCTTTTTTAACAACACTGAATAAGCATTTAAGGCTTTTTACGGATGAAATGTGAGGAAATGATTCTAAATTACATCCTCCGAGCTAAATTAGTGACAAAGCCTTTCTTGCAGTCATAATAACTAACATCAGTGTGTCTGTCTTCCATCCGTGCTGAGACTCACTCAGGTTTGAATGAGGAAAGAGACACTCATTTGACAATTTTAACTTTTCAATTACCAAATTATAGCAATGTTAGAGCCGAAATGTGAAAGCGAATAAAGGATGAAGAAATTATTCCAATGAGTGTGAGACATAATGAAAGCCTGAGAAGAGAGAGAGAGGGAACGTGACAGTTGCAGGTTAAACAGCTTACACCATAGGAGGGGGATTTGGCTGCCTCTGCTAGAGGGGGATATTAGCAGGATTATCTGGCAACCCTGTTGCTGGGGTGAATAACATTAGAATCCTATTTGTAAAGACTCCTCTGCTTCCTGTCCACAATCCTCCATTTACTCCACACTTACATCCTACAATTAGTCCACTTACATTCTCATAACCCCAGATTAAACTCTCACACACGCGTGTAAAGAGCATGTTATGAACGTTATGTATATTGTAGGGCTGACATGTTAATTCTCAAGATTAATTTGGAAACATTATTGGGTTAAAAAATGTACGCAAATGAATCACATTAGGAAGTTTGACCCTATATTCCTCCCGTTATTCCAGATTAAGGATGTTTACAATTAATTGCATGGCAGTGAAAAGGCCAGAAGAGTGAAACCACTGGACATCAATTGCAGCCGTCACTCCCTTGATTGTAAAGGCACATCTAATCCATGACATTTGACAGATAGTGATAGCAATATGATAGCAGCAGAGAGAATACTAGCATAGGAGCATGTGCTCTGTTTAGCATATGTTATAAGGAGGCTCATCACGGAGGCTCTCTGTGACAGCTTTGACGATCATTTTGTGTCCGAACGTGCCAATAATTGCATTTCGTTATTACAAAACCAGACTTGTATTTGTTTTATCTCCCCTAAAACACAAGTAAATACTAGTACAGACCAGCAGAAACTATACAACAAATGGAAAGCCATTCTGATCACCCTTTACTCCCCTTCTCCATTCCTTAACCCTTTATCCTCTCCTCTACATGTCCCTGAAAGAAACCCATACAGACCTGCATTCATGATGTGCATTTCAGTATATTGATATTCATGTGCATTAGTGTGTGCACTTCTTCAAGTGTGAGTGTTCTTCTATATGTGCGAGAGTTGTATTCCATTAGTGGTACAGGCCTCTCTGCTCCCATAGGCCACCAGGCATGTGTCATACACTCAGATAGTGGGGGAACACCCTGAATACTAATACAGGAAGTGCTAGCATATATTTTTTTGTGTGTGTGTGTGTGTGTGTGTGTGTGTGTGTGTGTGTGTGTGTGTGTGTGGTGTGTGTGTGTGTGTGTGTGTGTGTGTGTGTGTGTGTGTGTGTGTGTGTGTGTGTGTGTGTGTAGGGAAATAGGTGCGAGTGGGGGGGGTAGGAGGTGGTGTGGTGTGACAGAGAGCGTTCGGATTGGAGTATGTGTGCATTTGAGTGTGACAGTGAGCAATATGAGGGCATAACGAGTGTGTGTGTGTGAGTGTGTGTGGGTGTGAGAGAGTGTGAGTGTGTGAGTGTGTTCTATGGATGCAGTCTGAGGTTAATAAATATTGACAGTGAGTTATCTCTCCTGGCAGGGTCGCAGGTGGGTTGCATGAAGCAGATTGGACACACCAGCGGGAAAGAAAATTCACATGCGCCCATTTGCAAGTTCAAATCCCTTCGATTTCTTTTTCTCTACACCAGTAACATTTGTAGGAGTCCTTGAGCAAGGCAGTAATGACTGGCCGTGATAGTCTAGCACTCGCCCACAACAAATCGCCCCGCCGAGATAATAAAGCCGCCTTCAACTTCTCCGGTATGGATTCTCCACGGTGTCTGTGGTAGCTTGAGGCCCTGCTATCACAACACAACACAGCGACAACACGGCGATTAGCTCCTGCACAACACTGAGATCAGAGAGGACAGAGAGAGTGGGGGGGGGAGATAAACAACTAGAGAGATAAAGAGAGGAAGATAGTGTTCCAGGACAGGATGAAGAAGCGACAAAGAGGTTAGTTTTAGGTTAGTTGAAAGCAATTATTATACGTTTAAATAAAAAAATATTGTAGGTTCAATTTGATATTGTTGCTTTCAACTAACCTAATACAGTTCTGTGAAAGTTGTTGACATAATACATTTAATTAAAGTCAACGTTTCAGTTGTTTCAGTAAAGGGAGCACAACAGGAAGTGTTAACTGTAAAGCTACTTAGGAGGAGGATTTTCTCAACAGCTGAGGGACCCACATACAGTTTTTATTTAGCACACTCAATGAGTGCATGGGGAGCGGTGATCGATTCATGCGGCCCGGCCCGGTGACATTGCCCAGTCATCACTCTCTCCCTCTCAAACATACACACCATCATTACACACACCCACACCCCCACACACACACACACACACACACACACACACACGGTCCCTGTTGGCATAGTGTTCCTCTCCCTGCAAGGCTGAGTCGAGCACAAAGCTATAACGTGGACTAATGGTGCATAAACTTGGATATGGAGGGGATTCAGAAAAAGAAAACACCTTGCAAGGTCAAATTTGCAATTCCTGAGGCATTGGAGGAAGATCCCACAGAGACAGATATCAGCTCTCACACAGATGCTGCAGTCTGTAGGAGTTTGTTGTTGACACTGTGTCCCTTTTAACCTCACACCTCTATGTAAATGATCAGGGTGCAGGTGCGCTTGCTTACAGAAATGCACACGTAGCTCATAGCCACACACAGCAATATCTGATCCACAGTGGTGGGGTGTATTAGATTAGATTTACTCAGGTACTGTACTTAAATAACATTTTGACGTAGTTGTATATTTAATTGATGCTATATTCCACTATATTTTGAAAGCCATGATTGTAATTTATTCCACTACATTTATTTTACAGCTTTAGGCGTTGTGCACACGGGAACGTTTGTGTTTATGCACAGTATGCGTATTCAAAAAAGTCTTCCGTTCACATGCATTCGTTTCATTTAACGTGTCTGTTCAAACGAGACCGCTGGAAACGCTGTAGTACATATGCCGGGACTGTAAGTGGCGCTGTAACTTCCGCCACAAAATACACCAAAAGCAGCAAAGAAGACTCCGCAGCAGCCCCGCAGCAATGTTGCCATGGCTACCCTTCTGTTTATGCCCCGCGGTGGATTTAGCAACATGTAGTTCATGTAATTCTCCATGTCCACTTGTTGCTGATGGTTGTGGTAGAGGAGCTGTAGATTTTGCACTAATATCTGTAGCATGGTCAGTAGCAGTAGCACTAGCAGTAGCTACTGACAGGAGGAAGTGTGTGGCGATTGCTGGTATTCAGCGGGATATAGTAATTTCCTCAGCATATGGATAAATGCAACGGGGAAGTTAACTGAAAGAAACCAAGAAGCACGTCTCTGTGGAGAGGACGGCTCAGAAAGAGAGATATTCTCTACAAACACCGGGTGAGATCGCACCTTTGTCAATATAATGGATCAATGCATGAAATCTGACTCTGTTTATTTTGTTTAAGGAGTATATTGGGCGTTAACAATTCTGGTTTGCCTTTTATAATATTATTTCATTCAAGAACCCCTTGTGCGTTTAATTAACACAGCTATTTTTGATAGCTGCTACAGCAGTGAGCAGGAGAGGTGGGGAGAGGTGGGGCTATCGCTATTTTTTCAGGAAATATTCGTATCGAGGTGATTACACGGACTCGGTTGACCCCCCAGAGCGTTTCGTTTGCAAATCTATCCACCTTGGGACCCGTTATCGTTTGTGGGGTCCGTTTCTATCGGCCTCGTGTAAATAATAGGGCTATACGCACGCGAAACTATGCAGATCCAAGCAGTTTTCTCCTCGTGTAAACGGCGCCTTAGTTGCGTTACAGATTCAGTTAGCTTATAATTTGCTAATACAAAATATAAATACACTTAAGTAAACCCTCTCATATTATTACAAGTATAAATATTCAGAAGCAGTATGAAATGTAATTAGCATTAGGTCCACCTTTACCAGCTTTGATAAACACTCTATTGCATCAATATTTTTACGCCAGTAGTCTTATACATATGGTTCTGAAATGGGCCATGACGCACACAAGTACTTTTGGTACTTTAAGTATATTTTTATGCAAATACTTTTACTCAAGTAGGATTGTGGATGTAGCACGTTGCTTTTATCTGAGTATTTTTACAGTTTAGTATATTTACTAAGTGTAACGGCCCGTCCACACAGCGGCGTGCGTTCAACGCAGCTTCCCATTCACTTTGAATGGGGTGACGTCACGCTTTGCCGAACTGCATTGCGGTTCCGTCGCGGCGCTTTGCCTCCGTTGCTCGCTTCAAAAGTTGAGAAAAGTTCAACTTTTCAAGCTTCGACGGAAGCGTCAGCCAATCAAATCATATGTCAGTACAAGCGCTAGCCAATCAAATCGCGTGCCTGTGTGTCCGGGGCGGGAGATTCATGTGATTGGTTGTTGGTCGAGCTTCAGACACGCCCGCCGGCAAGCTTCAACGCACGCTGCCGTGCGGACGCTGCGTAAGTCTAAGTACTTTTTCCATCTCTGCTGACGTCAAAGAGTGTGCATGTGCAGATGTGCATAAAGCTAGACAAACAATGAAATATTTATATAGTTATTTGAAACTGGATTTCTGGGATTTTGTCTATGGTTACATTCTGATCATCTCGAATTGTGTTTTTCTGGTTCAAAAGTTTACTTACTTTTGAACACATTCATGCATAACTTTGAGGTCTTTCTTTGTGTGAATACTGTGTTCTTGATAGCACCAAAGTAATGTCATATTAGCATTAAAGTAGAGAATCAGATAAATGTGAAGTGTGGTACCTTTTTGAAGAGCAGGGAGTCGTCCATGTGCTCTGCGTAGACTGAGGTGAGTCTGTACTGGTTCTCGGTGGTGATATCGATCTGATATCCGGTCAGGACGTAGCACACTGTGCGGAACTCCTGAATCTTCCTCTGAAACACTTCCTTCAGCCTCTGGTTTCTGAGCTCCAAGCTCTCCATCTGCTTACGCAAATCTGCAAAATACACAAAGAAATGGAGAACACATTGGTCATTTATAACACCACTTATTATGTATACAAGTAACTCAGACTTTCCTCTCTAAGATTCTGTAACACGTGCACAACTTCCTCTCCGCAGAGCTCCACAAGTGCATGCTCAAGTCACTTAGCTAATGTAGCATAGATGGACGGCTCAATATCAAATACACACTCCCTGCGGCCCTCCATCTGCTCACTTAGTGCTAACAAAACACTAAAACACACAGAGTGGTGTAATGGTGACTCTTACAGTCAGCTGCAGAGCTGGGAGCACAGAGATTAATGGAGAGGAGAAGCAAGATCGGGGGGGGGGGGGGGGGCGGGGCTGACTTTAATTTGTTGAAAATCTATTTGGGGTTAATGACTTTAATTGGAAGACTTGAATTGAGAGGGCAGAGAAATTAGTTTGTATGAGCAAAAAGTCGTTATGGAAGGAATTATTTCTTGACTGCACACAAATGTAAGTGAGTAATGTAAAAATTAGAAATGGTCAAAGCAGTGAGCAGCCCATGTTTCCATGATGTAACTGAAATATTCTCAGAAGGTTTGCAACACTGAAAGATCTGAATCCAGCGCCAGACAGCTGGGGCTAACTTTTATCCCCGCTGCCGAGTGAAGTCTCCTGGCAGAGACATCAATAGTCAACATCATTGGATGGCCATTTCTCTGATTTCTGCCAAAAAGAACAATTCAATTTGAAAGCTTGTATGTGAACCCAGACATCTCTGGAGGTAGAGCAGCCTCTATCCCTTTCACACATGATGAAAAGTGGACAAATTGCTCAAATTAAATAGCAGTGAGTTTTTATGTCAGTCTTGTTGTGTTCCTATTTTTATTTCTTAGAATTCCTGTCTTGTCCTTTTCTCATTTTGGTCAAAATATAAAAAGTATTAAAAGTGTTTCCTCCAGAGGGAATTTATCGCCCACACACTCCCCCCCCCTGCCTTAATCGCCTCCATTGGAGTCCTTTGTTTACTTCTGTTACATAGTGACATCACTATGTTACCCTCGCAGATCTATTGGCTAGCACTCCAACACATTGTACGTTATCGGCTACGGGGCGTAAGCAGTTGACCAATCACAACAGAGCTAGACAGAGGGTAAAAAGAGGCGCATTATGAGAAAAATAAAGACCTTTTTGAACCTTAAAGGTGGGGTAGGTAATTCACTTCAGAAACACTTTTTGTTATATTCCATGGAATGCTCTTAACATCCCGATAGCAATGAATATATGAAATGCTTTGACAATAAATACATAAAAAAAATGTCATCTGTGGAAGCCGTGGTGCTGTAAAAAGCACGACCAATCATCTGAGCCGGCCCGGCTAAAATAACTGGATGGCCTACCTGCCTGTCAGCCTTCCATCTGTGCACAAACTTATCTCGTGCCCTCATTGGTCATGTGCGCGTCCGTGTGTGTTGGAGGAGGGGCTCTGTAAGGAAGTCTGAAGGAAGGGGCAGATTTTTTTCGGCTGCGTAGTTTCAAATTCTAGCGCACTCGAGCTGGTTTCTCCATTCTTACCTACCTTTAAAGCGTGTAAACATGTCACAGTAGAGACACTAAACACATATATGAACCTGAACATTAGCATAAAAAGGGCCCCTTTAAAAGCATGTGTTAAAGTTCAACATGAAGAGAATCAAAAAGCAAAAAACTTTCGCCTATGGCAAACAAAATGCTTACTCAACAAAACTTAGCCAGCATTGATTAATATTGTCAAGGTCAAAATAATTTCAGTGTCTCAGATGTGTGTCTGCTTTGATAAGGATCATCCAACAGTCAGTGTAATTTACATTCAGCGAACACTTACCAGACAAAACCTCTCTTGTTTTATCACAAACTCATACATCTTATATTCCTTCAGGAGTGGTGCTGCACTTTATGGCTTCTAATCCTGCCTTGATTGATAAGTATTCATCATTCTCCTCTTCATACATCTTAGCCCATGATCGTTGTATCCATCATTATCAAAAGAGTGGATGTCTAGAAAGTATCAACTTAAAGAGTCTGTCTGTGTGCCGGTCTGTCTCCTGGGTGCCTGGGCTTCTCTTGAGTGTCAGTCAGCGCTGATAAATACTGTTTCAAGACTTCAGCATCGTCACAGAACTGTCACTATATGACAGCTATCAAACTGCCCTGAAAATGGCTGTAAATTCTCAAGAGACAGCATGAAGTAGACGCCGCTTGTATTGACTGCAGCATGCAGACAAATGGACAGGCAGGCAGGCTAGGAAATGAACATGTAATTTCTTGTATACACACAAATGTTCCAATGTGTGTGTTTAGTTGCTAAATCAAAGCATCAGTGGTGAAAAAGGTTTTTACACTAACTGTCAAGTTTTTAGAAAGTTAGTTACTTCTGACTTTTGCCCTTAATTGGTCTCTACGGGTCTGTGCGAGCGGTCTCTTAAAACCTGTCAAGGAAATTTCTCTGCTGAGGGAGGGAGGCCCTTATTTATATATTTTTACCAATTTTCCAACCTGAAGTAAGCCCAGAGTATTTATTTGTATCTGTTGCGGAAATTGGTTATAGCAGTAAAAGTAGGGGGAATTATGGGCTTGACAGATTCATTTCCAACTCCTCCTTAACTTGTGTTACTATTAAGTGGCCCTTGTGAAATGTGATAACATTGTCACTACAATTGCATTTTCTAGTCCAAAGACAAACCCTTAAGACGGGCGGAGTGGCGCAGTGGGCTGTGCGTTTGATCATCAGATCAAGGGGGGCGTTGGGGAACTCCAGTTCGAAACCCGCTCCCGCCGCCACTGCGTCAGGCCGTTGTGTCCTTGGGCAAGACACTTCACCCGAATTTGCTCCTGTGGGTATTGTCCACAGTACATGTATGATATTAATGTGTACTTGTAAAGCGCCTTGATGACTTCGAGGTGTGAAGATGGGTGCTGTGGCGCAGTGGGCTGTGCATTGATTATCAGATCAAGGGGCGAAACCCGCCGCCGCTGCGTCTGTAAAGCCGTTGCGTCCTTGGGCAAGACACTTCACCTGAATTTGATCCTGTGGGTATTGTCCACAGTACATGACCGTTACATGTATGCATGATATGTATGTGTAATGTGTATCTGTAAAGCGCTTTGGGTCATTGAAAAGCGCTATAATAAATATAAGGAATTATTATTATTATTATTAAGACACTTCCAGGCCGAAACAAAGAAAACAATCTCTCATTTACAAAATGCAGTCATGTGTAAAGCTAGGAATAATACTTAATAGTATCAATAACAGCCTAATTCATGGGTTTCACAAGTATAAGACAAGGTTTATTTTTAACCTAGTGGAACATTTGCCAAATGAAAGAATAATTTCTGTCACTTTAATCCTTGGCTTCCTTTCACATTCTTACCCATTATAATTGTTTGAACTCCCATTAAAACAAATAAATGAATGGGAGTGTACTTAGCTCTTAGTTCACTTGAAGCACTGCTCAACAGTGGCTGTCTATTCAAGTTTAGAATAGTAATGGAAACTTCATGAAAGCATTTATTGTGTGCAAACAATATACATAAAACTAAGACATTAAGGAAAGAATATGGGAAATGTTAGATATCAATTTTCCATTAACAAAAGTGTTTCCAATTGACTTAATCCACTATTACCTCAGAGAAAAGACTCAATAACCTGCACTCGGTTGAAGGACAATTAGGACTTACTTCGATTGTTGAAATATTAAGCAGTTTCTTTTTGCATGAGATATCTTTCAAAGGTCTATTTTAGATCTGGTATTTCTTAACTGCACATCTACATTTCATGGTGAGGTTTAACTGGGTCTATAAATCATATTTTAGTCATATAGAGTTCATCAAACAAAGCTTTTTTTATATAACTGTGCCAATCTCAAAGGCATGACATGTACTCAGTTTGCCTTTGATACTTTCCCAGACATCCCTTTGCCTTAACCCTGGTCTGAAGAGGAGGACAGATATCACACATTAGGGCTGTATTACCTGCTGGAGGTGAAATGTAACACACTGGTAAGAAACTCAACTAACATTTCCAGAGAAGAAAGGGTCAGGAGCGGACGGGCAAAATGAAAGACAAGGGAAAATGACAAGAGGGAAAGGAAGTGTATAAAATAAAGATGAAGGGTGAATTTGAAGAGAGGAGAGATGAGTGCTGGTGAGGGAGAGGAAGAGTGAATATGAGAAAGGCAGAGCAGAAGACAAATTAGCAAACAGACTTCCGACGCTGATCTGCCCTGAACTCCAATTCAATATTTAACCCCGTCATGAATACTCTTTCCCAATCTAACTGTCTGCCGTACACTCACACCTGAGAGGACAAAGGCCTCAGGGGCCTCAAATACCAATGAAGCAATTCCCTTCTTACTCTGCTTTAGGTCCCCGCCATTACAGTGTTTTCTCTTTGAAAAACTTCCATTTGTCTAAAAGGGAAGAGGAACTGAACACATGTCATAATAATGTAAAAAAAAAACCCAATGGAAGCGAACACGCGAGAATCCATGCTTTCATGTTTCACACGCACACACAACTTCACAAACACTTGATATCCGAGACACATTTGAGACTCCAGGGGGAAAAACTGTGTCCGCCAAAGTGTGGATGGACGAGCAACTGACTCGCGAGCTATAGAGCTGCTAAAAACTCAAATAAAACTAGCTATAAATAATTATAGCTTAAGTTAAAACATTTATGTGCATGTACTTACTGTGTCCTACATTAATGTAGTCTGGGCTGTGTGTGAGAGGCTATAATGTTGCCCCTAATCCAAGTTCAGCGCCATAAATAATGTATGGTAATGGAAATGTGATGGACAATGAAATGGAAAAAGGCCACTGTCCATCCATTTTATTTTATTCACGGTTGGTTCCAACTAATGAGCCAATTCTGAATGAGTCCTTCTATAAATTGTACTGTTTAAATTCAAATCAAATTTTATTTATATAGCCCAATATCACAAATTACACATATGTCTGAGGGGAATTTACAGAGTGTGGAGCTTACGACACACTCTTTGCTCAGACACGTGGAGTGGACATGGGGAAAGAAATCCCACAATTAACGGGGGGGGAAAAAAATGGAAGAAACCATAGGGAGAGATGACAAAAGTACACACATCCTTAGAAGTACAGATACTTGTGTTTAAAAATACTCTGGTGAAAGTAGAGGTACTGACTAAACTTCTTTACTCAAGTCAAAGTAAAGAAGTATGGGCTTTGAAATGTACTTAAGTAAAAAGTACCCATAACTAGCAGCTGTTTTAAAGAGTACCTGACCTCCCTTTATATTAATAGAACAATAATGTCATTGTTAGCTAATGAATGTTTCCATGCTGAACAACGGCAACATGACAAACGTTTTCATTGGTCCCTCTTCTTTAGAGAAGACCAGGAAATGATGGATACACGGATCGTGTTCAAATCAATAGGCACGCAATGACTCTAAATAATAATGATCACGCCACCAAACACACATTCAAACTAAAGGAACCAGCCTGTTTGGGAAATGTAAGAAGTAGAAAGTACAGGTATTTGTGTTCAAAATGTAAGAAGTAAAAGCAAAAAGTAGTCAAATAAATAGTGGAGTGAAGTACTGATACCAGAAAAATGTACTTAAGTACAGTAACGAAGTATTTGTACTCCACTACTTCCCACCTCTGACCATGGGGAGAGTGGCAGTAGAAGTACACACATAGCAATACATTGGTGTGTACAAAGTAAGTAATAACTCATAGACAATCAAAGTTAAACAGACGTCAGTTGGTGCGTTGATCTTACCCACGACCTCCTTGGATGGCGGCAGACTGAGGCTGAGGCTGGCGTTGATGCTGGAGTCGCCTTGGACCATGGCGCCTCCTTCCTGCAGCGAGCGCACGAGTTCACTGAGACGTGTCACTTCCTCCCGGAGAGCATCAATATCTTGCTGGCGCTGTTGCTTGGCAACGGTGACAGGGTTCATCTTGAAGTGGAGAACTCGGGTTTTGATGGGGTCGAAGTCACCCTGAGACAAAAAAGACAAAGATCAGACCCTCCGTCAATTCTGCAAGTTGAGGAGGATAACATTGAGGGCATGCACTAATGCACACACACTTATTTTTACAAGCTGTTTTACAGAGAGGCAATCACACATTCACACACAGTTTTTAGTGGAGTTCACATAGGCTAAGTTACAATTAAAATGACCATTACCCACAGTTATTCACATATGGCCTTTGGATGTGTAGCAAAAAAAAACATAACTGACCGTGTGGCAACAACAGTCACTGTCAGTAACAATTAGTGGATTACTATTTTGCTTATAAAATAAAACCCCAAATAATATAGTTATCAAATAATGGATATCTCAGAGCTGTCAATCACATCTGTAATGTGCCAAAGGAGAAATATTGCAGGCTATTAAAAGAGCTGCTGATCTGGATATATCCTTCATGTTAAATATGATTGCACATACACCTTGGCATATTGGTAAATATTCATATTTATATAGCTGGAGTCGTCAAGGTACTCCCATTTGTATATTTGTATCTGTATCTGTAGGTGTAGGTGACTGAAAAAAAAGTTGGGCAACATTTAATTTGATTTAAAATGCTTAAAAGACACAACCATCACAGTTTCTCAGGGACATCTTCCCTGACAAATGGTTCCAACAAACAACCCGAAAAGAATAATCTGTTAGAACTTAATAAAAGCATCAAATGATAATAAATAAATTGCGTCAGTTGTAAATGACAACACAAGGTCAGAAATCTGCAAATAATGTATTCAAATTCAGGTCTGGATGATGAAGAAGGCAGACTGAAAGGTTTTTCCGAGAGAAAATGTCGCCAACACACCTCAGTGCTGTTTCTTACCCTTTTTCATATTGTAAACAGCATTTGACATCCTCCCCCTTTCACTATCTATACAATCTACAGTCCTCCCACATAATAACTCGCAGGCTTTAAGAATATGTTTGCCACACAGGACCCGAGCACATAGAACACCAGATACGCCTGCATAAGAAATGAAAACATTCATTGTACTCACGCATTTCTGTGAAGTGTATGTGCGGAAAACATGGACAAGGCAGAATGGCTTGAAAAGACTTTCATAATCAAAAGGCCGGGAAGAGTTCTATGGGAACCATCCGAGAGAATGTGCGGACTGCGATTCAGAGGAATACACAGGGGAGGAGATGGGAGGTGAAGTGTGGGCACAAAAGGGCTTTCCAATAAATCCATCTATGCTCTCAGTGTCAATGTTTCAACAAAAACTTGTATATTTGAACAACCTCCGTGGCCATTTAACCTTAAAGGGGACCTATCAGGCAAAATGCACTTTTGTACGTCTTTTATACATGAATATGTGTCCCCGGTGTTCCAGGGAACTCACCAAGTGTCAGAAAACACAACCCTCTTTATTTTCCTCCATACCCAAATCTCTAAAAAAGGGGCTGCAACGGATCTGATAAAAACTGATCCAGATTTGAACACTGTCCTGACGTCAGGACGGTGGCGCTACGGCTATTGGGCCAACTCCATCAATCAGGAGGAGACAGCCACGGCCATTGCCGTTCGAAAGCGCTGGAGACGCTGTAGTACATATGCCAGGCCAGTAGATGGTGCTGTTCTCACAGAATCAGCCCTTGCAAAAACAGAGCTAGAAATTGTCAAATTGAGCAAAATGAGGCATGGCTAAAATGCATGATCTGTTTGGTATTTTGAAAAAAAAAAAAGTATAAATATGCCTTATATAGGTATGGTCTTACACTATATTATTCAAATATAGCATGTTAGGGTCCACTTTAATTATTGTTGTCAACTAAGCACAATTGAAAGATTTTGGATGGCCCTGTCTTTATTCTCTTTGGTTACCATCATTTGATTTAGATACATCATTTTGTTCCTTGGTTACTCTTATCAAGTCTGGCCTTTCTCGGTAATGGGACAAAACTGTATCTTAAAGTGAATGAACAAAAACATATTTGGCACAGTGCACAAAGGTTATCTTTTGATTCATTTCAGCAGAGAAATGGGAATACAGGGATTTTAGCCTTTGCAGACCATTTACATGCACAAAAACATGTATAACACACGACAGGAAAAACCCCAAAAAGCATAATCGGACTTCTTTAATAGCTAGACTGGATATATTGCGTGTATCTGTAATTCAGTTCTTCATCAAAAAGAACAATTCAGATAACCAGAACAAAATGTTTTTCCCAAATGCTTTCAGTTTTAGATTTCTAACCATTCTTATGTATTGGGCTTTTCATTTCAGACAGTCGTGTTTTCATCGCACTTTGCATTTTCAACCTCAGACATAAAAATGTTGGCAACATTTCAACTTGTTTCCATTTACACTGTTAATAAAATGTGCATTACAAACAGGTGAATAAAAACTAATTTGCATTGATATGAAACCAACTAGACTTGAACAACATAGATCATAGTTTAATGATTCACTGTGCACCTTTCTGTGCCCATTTATTCAGTGCAATAAGTGTTGACGCCAACACAACATGCATGAAGCAGGTCTGCTTGTGTAGGAGACGGGGCATTTGGAAATCAAACAAGAAGCTTTATTTCCAACTTTCTGTATCTAAAGATATTCATTTTCTGTGTAACTTTGACTCTTTTTCTTTTACCTAGCCTGCCAAAATCTTTTGTGCAGAGGCTACAGGAGCATACTGCGAAGTTATGAGCATCAGACTGCCTACCTGCTTTAGTTCCCAGCGTGCCGCTCTCTGCCCTCAGCACAGAGCAGAGTCGACCACAGCAGCAGAAAACCCTCCACTGATTCACAGCAAACACAAGTATTTATTAATGTGCTGTTGTGCAATGCTGTGTTTTAACCTTAGACACCTTCTCTATATATATATATATATATATATATATATATACATATACATATACATATACATATATAGATACACACACACACACACACACACACACACACACACACACACACACACACACACACACACACACACACACACACACACCACACACACACACACACACACACACACACACACACACAACACACACACACACACACACACACACACACACACACACACACACACACACACACACACACACACACACACACACACACACACACACACACACACACACACACACACACACACACACACACACACACACACACACACACACACACACACACACACACACACACACACACACACACACACACACACACACACACACACAATCTAAATAGGCCATTTCAATAGTTTCACTGTAGGTGTCATAATAAAAACTCACTGGAAACACAAGAGTTTCATTTTGTTTTGTTGCCATTATTATAATTTACTAGCAATGTATCCATCAGACAGACTAACACAAAATGACATGACAAACGATGAGTTGTGAACACAGATTGATGTTATTGACAAGTCCACAAAATAAGAACCTAAAGCAAGAAAGGGAAAGCTGTTTCCTAAAGCGTGATTACCTTCTTTTCTTACTTAGTTTGTTCTTCTGAGGCGGGGAAAATGAGGAGAGTCTATCTCAGCTTAATGCCAATATAAACACACACACACACACCAATCTCAGCTCTTGATTACTGGCTAAATTAGATTCCATATGCCCCAAAGCGACGATTGCAAAATAAACTGCAGGCGTGTGGGAGAGCAAGAAGCAGATGAGGAGAAAAGGAATATAACGATGGGAAACAGCGAAGGACACGGAAAAGAACACGATGAAAAACAAAAGAGGGTTAGGGTGATGTCGCCTACAGCGTGGAGGAAAAGTAGCACGGATGAAGGGAATATGCCGTGCACGCTTATAAATAACGCTTTGTATAATTTAAAAGGATTGAGCGTTCTAAAATGAGGAGCAGAGAATGTGTGTATTTATATCAAAACATTTTCAACTGGACTGCATACACGTCACAGCCAGAAGTCAAGGCCTATTTCCGTCCTGCGTAAGTCTTTTGAAGTTGTACATCTGTATATGTAAGGAGGGGTTTATTCAAGGATGCGTGCGTGTGCGTGTGCGTGTGTGTGTGTGTGTGTGTGTGGTAAACAGCGAAGGAAAAAGGGAAGGAGAGCCAGATAGTGTGAGACAGATATGTAGATTTGAGCTGTAAACGCAGCACAAAAAGAACAGTAAAGTCTTCAAAAACGCAGCCAAAAGCTACGTGCTGTCAAAAACCAAAAACTCTTTCAGACATAAATCTTTAAAATGAGGTCAAGCTAAAGAAAATTAAGAAGATTTTCCTGTGGAATTCATATTGAACTTGTTTGGATGCCTGGACTGAGCTGAGGGGCAAAGATGTAATTGACTTCTCGACGGCAAAAACAAAAAGAAAAGCATTTCTCTTTGGCACTGAACCATATCACTTTCAGAGTAAGCCGACAAACAGCATAATCTTATTTTTTAATTAGTTCTCTCCTCATATATCACACTAAAGTGAGAACATGGAAAAAGGCAATTTTCTGTCTTCATCCATTTGAACAAAAAAGAATAATCATGTGATTAGGATTGATCCTCTGAAATAGAAAACAATAACTGAACATTCAAAACAGGGACCAAGTGGAGAAAGGCATTATTACCTTTCACTGCACATGCAAGTCTTCATTTAAAGAGGCCTTATTATGCTTTGTGGGGGGGGGGGGGTTTCCTTTCGTATAGTGTGTTATATAGGTTTGTGTGCATGTAAGTGGTGTGCAAAAGATAACATCCCAAAAGGAAAGTTCCCTGAGTCACTATGTCAGGATCATAGTGACCTCAATTTTTTACTTTCGTGCTTCTATTGGCTAGCGATCCAACACATTGTACATCATAGGCTAAGGGGCGGGACATCTCGAAGCGGTTGACCAATCACAACAGAGCCGGCCAACTAACCTATCAGAGCAAACTGGGCTCTGGTTTCAGACGGAGGGTGAAAAGAGGTGCTGCAGCACAGGCAGTATGAGAAAAATAAAGAGCTTTTTTAACATTAAAGCATGGAGACATGTCCCAGTAGAGACACTACATACTAATATGA